AGGGGGGGGGGTCAAGGATCACAGATTGTGAAAATAAACAGAATTGGAAGGGGATGTCCAGAGAAAAGAACAGGTACTGCTGGTAGTGTAGCAGAATGACCAGAGAGGAGAGTAGACATGCATGGAAATGGAGGGAAATGATCAGAGGAGAGAAGAATGGGCATGGAAAAAGTATGTACATGGCAGTACACCAGCTAGTGGATGGAGCAAGAAGATGAAGCAGCATAGAGCCTAAAGCCCAATTCTGGTGTTCTATCAAATATTGTGTCTGAGTTGGAATGTGTGACCGGTCACACATTTTAACGTATTCACGCCCACTTTTTCGGTGGTGGAATATGTGACCAGCAAAAGGTGAAGAATTACAACGCTTTCTTAGCTGTTCCAGGGCAGATTGGCATCGCAGATGGTATGTGCAGGAGAACCGATCTGGCCTGGAACAGCTGATCGGTCCTGAAATAGGACTTTGTTAGCGCAATCCCACATTCCACAAAGTCAGATAGAAGAGACATTTGTGGACCGATCAGCTGTTTCAGGGCAGATCGGTTCTCCTGCACCTACCACCTGCTATGCCGATCTGCCCTGGAACAGCTAAGAAAGCGTCGGAATTCTTCACCTTTTGCTGGTCACATATTCCACCACCGAAAAAGTGGGTGGGATTACGTTAAAATGTGTGAACCTGTCACCGGTCACACATTCTAACGCAGTCACAAACTTTGATAGAGCACCGTCTTCACACATATATATCTGTTCCTCTTCATCTCTTCTCTGGCACTGGGTGGTGCTTCATGATGCAGAATATTGCTGATGTGATGGTGTCTGTGCCATTCTCTGCATCATACTGTGAGTGCAGGGGTGCTGTGGTGACACCTACCCAAGTTTTAGCTTGGCTAGAATATTTACTGCAACACATTAACAACTAACTAAATGCCTGTAATTGTTCTTGAAAGCCAGTGCCTGGGTTAAGGGTAGGGTTTCCACCTTTTCTTTCAGCGAAACCCGAACACTCTAGCGACGCATAGAGATTTTTTGGGGGGAGAATGAGTTGCGGCTTATTCATATGTAAATAGTGCCACCCATTCATATGTAAATATCACAGTCAAGACTATTTTCAGTGGGGGGGCAGTAGCCCCTATATTAATTTTGGTTGCCCCTATCTGCCTGACATCATGTGTCCGGGTCTCAGCTGCCATGAAACCTGGACACAGCATTCAAAACCCGGACTGTCCGGGTGAATCCCGTACAGGTGGCAACCCTAGTTAAGGGGTTTATCGGAACAAACTAAGAAGCCTCAAAAACATGTCATGTTTTATGCCATCTCCATCCACCTCAGGACACCTGTGGGTATATTTAATAGCAGAATTCAGAGATGGAGAGTGTATGGTCTGCTGACAGGGATCACAAGACTCTCTATAGTGGAAGTGATGTATGACGATCTCCTCCATGTTTATCATTTACACCCCAAAATGCCTCTGACAACAATTCTACAATATACCAGAGTTTGTAACACACCGTAGCATTCTCTATATCTTGGGAGACACATGCTTTGCAATATGCTTCAAAGCGCTCACTATTTCTCAGGCATGTATTTTCTGTAAATATGGAGTCTGTTTGAGGTTATTAAAATGTATTTCTCGTATTTAGGTCTTATCTCTGAAATTCCAGAAGGAAACCCTGTGGGTCATAATACTCCCATCATAAAGCAGGAGCTTAATACCAGTGGTAAGAGGTGAAATTGATTGTCCATGCCTGGAATTACAAGGCTTTTGTTGGGAGGCCTGTGTACACCCTACTTGTAACTCTACTGATAAGCTGCAAGCTCTTGTAACTGTTTTATGTATTGTACTGCTGATTACTTTTGAGACAGATATCGAAACTGATTACCATCTTGTCTTAAATTGTATTGTGACTGTAATGTGCAAACTATTGGCGCTATATAAATCCTGTATAATAATAATAATAATAGGGTTTTCTTTTGCTGTCACCTAATAGCACCTCAGCATAAAACTACATTGTATTTTAAGTGAGTAAAGTGTTTGATTGTTGTATTTCATATACAGATTTTACTTTACTAGCATGCACAGCACCAGTAGGGAGACTTTAAAGTGTATCTAAACCTAAAAAAGGGGTTTATTGCAGCTTACCAGGCCTTAGATATGGTGGCTGCATTAGTTTTCTTTTTCAGGCTCTCTTCCCTGTATTTTCACTTGATGATCCTGCTAGTAACACTCCTGCCATGGGGTGGTTACACTCACTTTTCCACTGTATGGGAGCAGCCATGATGGTTACTCCGGATGCCCAAGCACTTCCAGTCATCATATTTCCAGACAGCTGGCTTTAACTCTCTCTAGCTATTCTTCCCTGGACTTCCTGTCCAGTAGAACATCACAAGGGACAGCATAGTCACCAGCAGCTCTCCATCTATTAGATTGGAAAAGGGTGACTAGAAGAAGAGGGAGCAGGGAGGAGGAGGATGTCCTGCATTGCCGTGTGTGTGGTGTAGAAGATAATGAGGACACCAGCACACCAAGGTCTACTTCATTGATTCATCTTTTATTGATGTTTAGATAAGCATGGTGCCACAAGCAAATGCAACGTTTCATAACCACATGTGGTCCCTTCATCAGGCAAAACAATGGGGTCTCATTGTTTTGCCTGATTATGGGGACTATATGTCGTTCTGAAAAGTTGTATTTGCTTGTGGCACCATGCTTATCTAAACATCAATAAAAGACGCTCCCATGATGGACTACAGTCTCAAATTTAGTTTACTAATTTGTATTCAGATTGTAGTCCATCATGGGAGTGAGCTTGGAGCGGTGGCCGCTTTACAACACACAAAGGGACCATAGGGAACAAAAGTAGCCACCCTCCAGAAGGAAGGACAGTGTCAGCACCAATTCAGAGATGATTTGAGGATATACAGCCGAGTGATACACAAATAAGATACATTTTTATTAATGGTTAAGGTACGTGAATGTATTTTTAATATTTAACTCCTTAACTCACTTTAAGTTAATATAATGTAATTTCTGTAATGAAATGGATTCTTTTTGTGTGTATTTAATTGTAAAGCTATGATCTTGAACAATGACTGATCTCATATGGAGTGATTGCATATATATAATGTTAATAATAGGACATTTGTTCATTTGTAGGGCAATGCCATGAAAGTGAGCAGCATGACTTATCTACTAGAGGGAACGTAGTAGCCATCCACATAAAAGAAGAATCATCATCTGTAGGTGAGAACTTGCGATATCCTTGTATAAAGGTCAGTGATCGGCTATATGGGATTTTCTTTCTTTTATTATCACCATGGGTCTAATTAGAAGTTAGAATGTGGACTGAAACCCAATTGGGAACTTTAGCATCTGACCTTCCTGTGTATCCTTTAGGTTATAAGTTTCTAGGTTTTATACATTCTCATTCACTTTTTTGTGGATTAGATCACATATGGCCCCCACACACATGCAGAGTTGTGCACATTTTAATCTAAGCGTGTTGGCTTGCACAATCTGTTTGTAATGAATGTGCACAACTTTATCCAGCGATTGGTTCACACATTTTGATCCAATTTTTATGACTGAACTGGATCTTAGTGAACAGTGAGAGATCAATACATGTCTGACTGGGAGTGTGGTCTCTGGGCAGTTTTAGGTTGGGTTCAGACAAGGGGCCTGTTGTCTATGCAAAGAGAGCAACTACCTTGCATGCATTTTGTTCTGTTCTAAATCTCTAAATGTGTCTCCTCCAATATGTCCAAATTTACTGAGAGAGGGTAAATATTGGTCATAGGAACAAGCCCTTTTCCTGCTTCTGTTTGTCTGTCTTTGGGTCTCTACTTGAATGACTCTGGGTCTGTGCTTGATTGAGATCAATATAGTTTAATGACGATGTAGTAACTGGAAATATACCTGCTTATTTAATAATGTACTACCGTCTTATGGTATAAGCATGAGACTTTAGTCATATTTCATTGTTACACTTCCTTCGTGTACAGGATTTACATGCGGATGATGTCACTGGTGTTATATGGTTATCATTATGGTCCGGCAGCAAGTCGGCAATACATATATAGGGTTTAGGGTTCATACGTAGGATGGTTACTGTGGCCGATTACACGTTATGGCTAAAAGGGAAAAAAGCTCTACTTTTTTTGTTCTTTTCTTACCCTTCCTATAATGTGTCTGGTTGTTCTGTTGTATCGTTCAATAAGACCTATGCTATAGAAGCCATGGTTTCATTATAGACTGAGTGGCCTGATTATTATGACCACCCCATCAGTACTTCGTTGGGCCACGAGATAACTCCACGAGATGACTTCGTTGGGCCGCCTCGTGACTCCACGAGATGTTGAAAGGTGATGCGAGGAATCTGACACTGCACTGTTGCCCTTCTGTTGTCTTGTACCAGTCTTGCCACTCTCCGTTCTGCCCTAACATTGACTAGTCGCTGACGGCCACAATTCGCAGGTTCAGACCCAGATTTTCGCGTGACAGTCCAGTCTTTAAACACTTTAACAACAGCTGCTCTTGAACATTTAACAAATTCTGCTGTTTTGCTGATACTCGCTCCATGGCTCCGAGCTCCAACAATCATCCCACATTCAAAGGCTGTTAAATTGCGTTGTTTACCCATATCTTCAGAAAAAAATCACTTCTACTGTCGTGGTAAACAACCTGCTTCCCTATTTATAATGGTCTGGCCCTCTAGCAACTTCAGCGCAAAATTATAGCTAATTATAGCTAATTTGCCTACAAACGTCAGGTGGTCATAATAATCTGGCCACTCAGTGTACTGTACTGGTCATGTCTCACTCAATCACAAAAGTAAGAGGATTATTCCTCATTTCAAGACAGTGGGCGAAGCTATGCGAATCATTGCTTTACACCCCATTGGTCAGATGCACATCCAGAAACTACAAATGTAGCTTAATATTATATAACCTGATAACCTATTATAATACTAAACCTTCCACTGAAAAAAAAAGTATTTTTCTCACCTTATTGTATTACAAATTAAAAAGTTTCATAAATTAGAAATTGTAATAAAGAAAAACTGTCTAGATTACCCTTCGCCTCCTTCTACTGTCAAGTCATCAAGTGGAGGTTTGGACAAAAATGACAGATAATTGGTAATTGGAGTCTACTAAGAAAATGTGGAAGCTACTTTGGGTGGGAGGCGAGAGATGGCGGTCATTTTTACCAGGATGCCAAACCAAACCAGTCCTGTAAACACAAAAACTTTTATCCCCCTTGGTCTGGTTTTCTGGAATTCCAGCCTATGGTATATCACATAGCTGTGCTGATGTTGTTTGGGTAAATTTACCATAGTGTGGGTTCTTTTGGACAAGCAATTCTCATACAAATGCATGTAACTAAAAGCACATGTCCACGCAAAGCAGACATCTTTTAACCCTGCATCCTTAATACTGCATTATGTCTAAAAAAGAATGTTCAGTATTGCTCCATAGCACCCCAATAATTTGAAACCTTAAAGTTTAAAGAGGAATGGAAGCATCTGATTGGTTTCTCTGAGGCAATACAAAAAAGCTGATGGAAAATGTATTGTATCGACACCTCCCCTATTCGAAAATGTCATCTAAATTGAGTATTAAACTGTACATGCTGATATTGGTGTCCAAAAGTCCAGTGTATATTCCCTTTAATGTATAAACTGTGAATAATTAACCATATTTTATTTACCTAGATGATAACCCAGAAATGGATGACAACCCTGACGATGACTTCCGAATAAGGACTATAAATGATGCCGGAGGAGGCAGGAACTGGAGCGATTATGAAGTCCAATCTCTCCTGCGTGTCTGGTCAGACGAGAAGATATCCCTGCGGCTAGATGGCACCTTCAGGAACAAACAAGTCTTTGAGGAGATTTCACTCAGGCTGATAGAGTTTGGGATCAACAGAGACTGGAAGCAGTGCAGAAGAAAGTACAAGAACCTAAAATACGAATATCATTGCATTCAAAAAGACGAAAATAATGAAAACCAACGTACGATGAGGCAGACAGTAAAATTCTTCGATCAGATTGATTGCATATTGCGACATCTACCAAAAGTTACAGCACAGGTTGCTGAATATGGACCACATGGTGGCGTCCCAAACCAAGGAATCTGTCAAGAGGAGCCCAGAACAGTTAGTGGAGCACAGGACATCTTAGGTACATGTAGTATTTATGTGTTACTTCACTGACCATGATCAAAATGTCAAAGTATATAAGGGCGGCCTTATGCAGCCCCATGAATGCAAGCAAGACAATAAATTCAGGCATCCTTTCAGACAATCAGGCTATGTTCTAGAGAAGGATGAGAAGTGTTTTGGAGTGTTAAAAGTGGTGGTTACGGAATGTAAAGAACTTCACAATCTGAAGATATTTGTCTTCCATATTCAAGTTGGGAAAAAAATTACTCTGATCAAAGTAAGGAATGGCAGAATGGCCATAGTTTTTTTTTTTTTTTTTTAAAAGATAGTTTTTAATAAACTATGTTTTCTCCATGTTGTACTCCATATTGCTCGATTCTCCCCCTAAACAGCCGTATATGTTGGCCTGGGATCAGGACTTAGGTGAGGTGGCTTCTGAGGAGGATTGGAAACGTCGATCAAGGGTGACAACCCGAGGCTTACTTAATGTTTCACTCTCGGAAGCCAACTTTAAAGTATTCTCCAGGTGGTACCTGGTGCCCTCTAGACTTGCACTTATGTACCCAGGAACATCGCCCTTATGTTTTCGGGGATGTGCGCTCGAGGGCACTATGTACCATATATGGTGGACATGTCCGCGTATCCGAAACTTTTGGGGAGGGGTTTTTAACTTAATCTTCCGGGTCGTGGGCATAAGGGTCCCAAGAGACCCTAGGCTGGCCTTGCTTAATGACACTATCCCTGAAACTCCTAAACACACTAGAAGATTGATAAATTTCATAGTCCTGGCAGCTAAAGTTACGATCGCTAAAACATGGAAGACACCCAGGGTACCGCTGAGCCAGGTTAGGACTAAGCTGTCTTGGATTATGACTCATGAAAAATTGGCGAGTATACTCCAAGACAAAATGGAACAGTTTGAGCTTACCTGGGCACCGTGGGCGGCATATGTAAACCCTGTAGGAGTATGAGAGGAAGGGAGCGAAGGCGAGCCCTAGCCC